CCCAGCGAGCTGGCCTGTAGACACTCGCGGGAGGGGTTCCTCCCGACCGGTGTGCTCTGCCCCTTTAGGCCGAGGGGGCTGGTTTTTTTTTTTGGGCCTTAATAAAAAAACCCGCATTTTCCGCGTTTTGACGCGCTTTTGCCGCGCCGCAGCACACGCGCATTCCGCGTTTAAACGCGCGTTTATTAATTAATTTATTTCTACCATTATTTTCGAGTTTTTTTTGATTTTTTAAAATTTTTTCCTACACTTTGAAGGGTTTAGAATTTAATGGTAAAGTCCATTTACCATAAAAACGACTTTGATTTTTTTTTTTTTCTGCTAACTCATATGTACAATTAGCTGTTACTGGCTCGTTTTTCTTTATTTTTTGACATTTTAAATTTGATTCCTACACTTTGAAAGGTTTAGAATTCAATGGTAATAATTATATTGCATAAAAATGAATTGTATGCCTTGTAATTTTTTTTACCACTCATTTTTCCTATTAATTGTTACCAGCTTGTTTTTAAATCTTTTTTGACTTTGTAAAGTTATTTCCTACACTTTGAGAGGTGTAGAATTGAATGGTAAAATTTATTTTGCTTAAAAATGAGTTCTTTGCCTTTTAATTTTGGCTCCCACTCATTTTATTGATGCAAGCACTGTGGAAAGTTCCCAGTGGTTATTCAACCTTCCGAAATTGAATTTCTCAATGGAAAAAGGACACAGAATGCTATAATATTCTAGAGTTTTTTTTGATGTATTTCAAGAAGAAATCGGTTGAGATCTGGCTGAGATAATCGCAGAGGTAGTTTGAGTCCTACTAGCGATTGAGCAATGAATAACCAACAAGGAGAGGTGTGTAGGCAAAAACAGAGATGGTGGCTGTCAAGAAGGTCAAGAAAGAATATTTTTGAAGGTTTTCTTGAAGAATTCTGTCAAGAAACGGATGAGTTATTCAGAGTTGAAGTTTCAAACCTACTAGCGTTCCAGCGGTGATTTAAACGAAACGAGAGGTCCAGCAGCAAAAACGGAGAATGTGGCGGTCAAGAGGATCAAGACAGAAGTTGATTGATGGTTTTCTTGAAGAAATTGGTTGAGGATTGGCTGAGTTATTCAGAGTTTAAGTTTGAGGCCTAACAATGACTTTAAAAAAAAACAAGAAATGGATCAGCAAATTTGAAGAGTGTGGCGGTGAAGAGCATGAAAAATGGGTTCTTTTGGTATTTTTTTGTGAATTTTGGTTGAGGAATGGCCAAGTTATGATTTTTTGAAGTTTAGAGTGTACCTGCCAGTTGGAAATGAGCCGGAGGTGAATCGAAAAAATCCGAGTCCGTGGGGTCGAAGAGGAGAAAAAATGGGTGATTTTGCTATTTTTTTTGTTGATTTTGGTTGAGTTTTGACTGAGTTGTGGTGTGTTGAAGGTTTAGAGGGGGGGTGATGTCCTTTTTTGATTGTGGTGAGTGGTTTTCTTGTTTGGTGCCTGCAGGAAAATTTTCAAACTTCATGCAGGCACTTGCGGTACGCGCGCGCGCCCCCTGGAGGCGAAATTATGCATAAATTATGCATAATTAATAAATGCGCGTTTAAACGCGGAATGCGCGTGTGCTGCGGCGCGGCAAAAGCGCATCAAAACGCGGAAAATGCGGGTTTTTTTATTAAGGCCCTTTTTTTCCTTTTTTTTTTCTTTTTTTTAAAAAAAAAACACTCCTGGAAGAGCCGGCTGCCTCGCCGCCCATTCAGAGGGCGGGCATCCACGGGTATCCGGGCGGATACCCGTCAACGCTGGCGGGTATCCGCCGGCGGATGCGGATGTGTGTTTCTGCTGAAATCGTGAGCGGATATCCGCATCCGCGCAGATATCCGGATTCAATGCGCCCATCTCTAGTCCAATCCTTCTGGGGCATCTTCATCTATGGGTCGACACAAAGGAACAGCATGGCCCCAACGTTGGCCATGGTCCACCAGTCAATCCATTGTTTTGCCTTGGGGAAACGACGTTGCAATTCATCCAATTGCTCCTCATGGGTTGAATCACCAACCTCAGGCGCTTTTATCAAATCCATGCACATCTTCTGAAAGGTTGCCTTATGGGGCCAGTAGATATGCATCAGTAAAAACGAACACAATGAAGATGAAAAAAATAAACCCACCTCGTCCCCAGCCATGATCATGTTCCGGTTTCTCTTGACTCAAGTGATTTGTGCTCGGTAATGTTGATGACAGCCCTGAAGCTTACTGATAGCATGCTCCCTATTAAAATTCCCAAACACTTCCCCATAGGCCTCAATGAAACCCTCCCTCTGAGCTAAGGAAAAGTTGACGACGTTTTGTACCAGAATGTCGCGCTCAACCGGGGTGAATTCCGGCTTCATGAATTTTCAAAACAAGGTTGCAAAATGTATACAATAGTAGTTGGCAGAGAGTCCACGAATCCAATTCAGTTGCACCGGAGCCCATCTGGCTATCTCTTCCACCTACATCGAGGTCGACAAGAGGTATACGTTCTCAAAGAAGTGATAGGTAACATCCAAAACTAAGCCACCACTGTATGGGTTGTTGTCAAAGTCCCGCGTCACCAGCCGTTGTCTCATCCATTCTGTTTGGAATGTAAAGTGTTCAGAACCGTCCATGAATGATGAGGACGTAATGAGCAGGCCTCGTCTACAAAATATAACAGAAAAACACCGGCCTGTTAGTTAATGAAAGAGATCTTGAATTAGAGAAGTAATATACTTTGACCACATGAACATATCTGTTATGAACTTGTCTCCCACCCCTCCACCCAAAGAATCTGGTGTGATTCTCATCTCTTGAAGCATTAGCTTCCGATAGTATCTGAGTTGGTCAGCGTTTCCAAACGACAAGTGTATATTGATGACACTGTCAAACGGATCCTTTGGGGCATTCGGCTTACCCAGCTGCATTTGTATTGAGACCACAAGAATGTCAGTCGATGGATATGAGCTTAAGCATTAATAAGCAGATTCTAATCAACCTTCAGAGCCAACGCTCCAGCCTTTGGATTCTTCATGATTTCTTTCTTGAGGGTCTCTTTGGCGAGTTTGTCAGGCTTCTTAGCCTCTGGCCAAGGGTGATTGTGGTGGCATTTGTGGTGCAAGACAGCCCATCCTGTAGGAACATACTTGTCAACACGGATTAAAGTGTTCTTGCATTCTAGGTGACAAACAGTCCCAGGACACTTTCCCGCCGCACCACGGCAGTGAGAGTGTGTCAGGAAAAGACTCATTCAATCAGCACACCTTTGCAGATGGCACAAGAAACAATACTCACTTTTGGAGATATTCAGCCATGTTCACCCAACCTGTTGGTGGGGCCCCTGCCCACCTGCATTGAGATAAGTCACACGCAAGCGAGCCAAGGCAATATATCCGCTTGAGCTTCCAGGCGCCTTTTGAGCGATACTCGGTGCCAATTCATTTGACAAATCCCACATTCCCAAAGTTGATAATGGTTGCTTTTGTGGGCCTGACATAGATTGTATCACCATTAGGGAGGAGAGGGAACCCCTCTGGGTCCAAAGTGCAGCCGTGATCGATGAAGGTCTCCTCTTGCATTGTCGGCAAGAAGAAGGTCTTGTCATTTTGTTCTAAGCTAACGGTAGGAGTTTTCTCTGATGGGGACTTGGGCTTGCCACGTGATGCTCGAGTATTAGAACTGGCAGGAATCTCAGGAATGTCGGATTTGGCTTTGCTGGAGGGATGTGCCTCATTAAAGTCTGATTCTTGCTCGTCCAAGGAGGTGGTTAAGGTCATGTTGATGGGCAGACTTGTTATTTTTGGTCACAGTATTGTTAATGGGAAGCCAGAGGTAAAGGTGACTAGTCTAAGGAGAAGAAACTGGTAGATACTAGGAAAGTACCACCAGTTGCAAAAAAAAACCCCGATGCATGAGAAAATTCTCATTCATGAGCCCTAGTTGTCTTTGCAACCCATTTGTTGCCAGGGATTAAGCCTTGTACGTTTGATCCATTGTATTTTTGCCTAAATACAGGACAGCCAGTATTTATGATGTGTGGAATCACAACTGTGCAAATACAGTCTAGTAAAATTCTTGACACCAGGACTGAGCGGGTGATGTTAAGAGCGTTTTTTTGCAAGGCTTTGGTTTACAGGGGTACCCTTGTCAGACAAGCCTTGTAAAATTAGTGTTTCAGCTGATCAGCTGCTATTTTACAGGGCATCAACTTTGCATGGCATTTCCCTTGCAAAAAGGCACTTGTAAATTTCTTATGCCCCCTTTTATACTCTTCTTTCCCTTTAAGCTTAATATCTAATCTTATTTTTTTTATTTCAGAAACACATTTTTCCATGCAAATTTACATGTACTCTTGTTGGCTGGACATTTCATCATTGCTTAACCCATTTATTGACATTGAATTTGTATTAGCGGGGTTCACAATAGCGTTTTTCGCTTCTCGCAACCGTTATTTTTTTTCTTGCTCGCGCACAGCTGACGTTAATTTTCTCAGCAAAAATTTCAAATTCTGCGCTAAATTTTGGGGGTCGGAAAAACGACTCCCAAAAATTGTCCGACGACTCCCATTTGGGTCGAGGGGTCGTCGGACGGGGGTCGTTCTTCCAAATTGATGGCCGACTTTGGGAGTCGGCCATCAATTTTTCTTTTTAATTTTTTGATTTTTGGGGAGTCGGCACCCCAAACCACCCCTCATGCTTGAGGGGGTTTGGGAGTCGTCACTCCCATGACCGGAAGGATTTCCTTCCGGTCAATGAGGTATAACAGCCTCATCGGCCGGAAGGTATCCTTCCGGTCGATGAGGTATAACATCCTCATCGATTGGAAGGAATTCCTTCCAATCGATGAGGTTGTTACCCTCATTGACTTCCAATCAATGAGGTTGATAACAACCTCATCGATTAGAAGGAATTCCTTCCGATTGATGAGGTTGTTACCCTCATCGACCAGAAAGGATTCCTTCTGGTCGATGAGGAATAACATCCTCATTGATCGGAAGGGATTCCTTCCGGTCAATGAGGTTTACCTCATTATAACAACCTCATCGACCGGAAGGAATCCCTTCTGGCCGATGAGGTTGTTATACCTCATTGACCGGAAGGAAATCCTTCCGGTCATGGGAGTGACAACTCCCAAACCCCCTCAAGCATGAGGGGTGGTTTGGGGCGCCGACTCCCCAAAAATCAAAAATCAAAAATTAAAAAATTAAAAAGAAAAATTGATGGCCGACTCCCAAAGTCGGCCATCAATTTGGAAGAACGACCCCCGTCCGACGACCCCTCGACCCAAATGGGAGTCGTTGGACAATTTTTGGGAGTCGTTTTTCCGACCCCCTAAATTTTATGCCTGCAGCGGTGCTGCAGTTTCTTGCGAGAACCAAGAGAGCTTCTTGCGAGAAGCTATCGTGAACCCCGCTATTATCTCAAAGTACTCTATGAAACTGCAATTTACTCCAGAGAAAGTTATAAGAAAAAAGGGGGGTCCACTTGTGGGAAGAAAAAAAAAACCATCATTTTAGACACTCAAATACAGTAAGATTGGTTCTGCAACTGCATATAACTTCACAAAATGAGTGTGCCCCCTGACACTCACAATAGCGTAATCGCTTATTGCAATCACTTCACCCCCGAATTGCCCATTCCTTTCTCGGTTCAATCCCCATTGCCGACGACTTCTCCTCCTTCGATGGTCCCAATGAACTTCCGCACCATTGCAGTGTGTCTCACCTTGCTAGTGGTCCTTATGATGAAGTGAACCTGACGATAAGGAACACGCCACGTGAGCACAGGTACGCTACGGGTATTTGACTCCAAACTCGGTTAGATTACTACTCACCTGACGATAAGGAACACGCCACGTGAGCACAGGTACGCTACGGGTATTCGACTCCAAACTCGGTGAAGAGAGAGAGAGGAGCCGGTACCCGGCGCATACAACAGCTAGACTAAATACATGATGTTTCGCCGCAGCAACTAGTTTAGGTTTAAGATGATGATAGATAAGGTTGAAACACATGTAAGTCTATCCTGAGTTAAGTTTGTGATCTTGTAACTCTGCGCTAACTCTAACAGTCCTTCCAACCATTACCTCCGCGGGTCGACCTCCCACCTGTTCCAACTGTCCAACAGGAAAAGGCTATCCGTGCACAGATGCGCAGATGCGCGAACATGGCCTCATACATAGAGCCCCATGTGGTTTCAAGACCCTTTCAGCAAACAGACCATGTGGCAAGATATGCGACAAGTCAAATTACACCTGTGACGTGTGTCATGCGATTTTCCGCACAAACACAGCCCACGAAGATCGTGGTAGGCGCCCGTGTCCTCACCCTGACAAAGAAACCCTAATAATCTTTGAGACGATAACAATGTAGTCGTGAGCGTCAAACAATAATCTCTGGCAAAAGGCTAAGACCACCCGGTGAAAATCTTTTTGGGTTCACATGAGTTCAATCCAACGAGCTCACTTGACTATTCAGTATATAATTGTCATCTTACCCAATGATCATGTGTCTTCTTGTCCATTCATATTGGATAGTTCATCAGACTTGATTTAAATGCAATCCAACTCCTTACCAATGATGTAGTTTGACCAGACACCAATGACACCAAGAGCCTCAATGAAAGCCTTTGCCAAACTAAGCCTATTGATGGACTGCAGGATCACTGAGAAATCCAAGTCAGATATCATCCCCAACTTTTTGAAGTTCTTCCTTCGCCTTCCAATGCCAACCCTTTTTTGTTAGATCCATCCAACCACCCTCATCCGGCATCCCACCGATTTCCACATCGGCCAATTGGTCTACACACCCGGACGAATCGGAATAAGTTGGTTCGCCCGCGAGGCGCACCAGCACTACAGGCGACCCCATGCCGCAATACAGTAAATTAGTTGCGCAACCGGCGGGTGCGTGATTGCAGCGGCCTGTACACCCTCTGGGGGCGTTGCCGGCCAAGTGTATGCAACAGTTACGCGTTGGGTGCAAGCTGGGGTCGTAATGACCTGGGTTCGCCCCAGGCCGTCCTGGTGCAACGCACCCAGGCCATACCAGCACCCGAGACGGACTGCGACATGCAATTGTAACCGCCCGGGGTTGCTATGCTGACTCGAGACCGGGCTCGCCATCAGTCCGCCGATAGGCGGCACTGGTCGCTCGATCGGTCAACCTTTTTCCTTTCCCAACACCCACCTGGAAAGATGTCTTTTTAGGTGGGTGTTCGAGAAAATAATCGATCTCTTTTTTTTTTTTTTTTTTTTTTTGACTTGACTTGGGAAGATTTTTTTCGAAGTCGGATGAATAAGTGGCTGGGGGGCGAGTCAGATACCCATGATCCTGCCTCTCCTCCATCGGTGTTCTATCCCATGAGTTTGGCGTGGGCTCCCTTGGGTTTCGGCGGTGTGAGATAATGTCGGGTTCGAGCCCGGCATTGACCAGCTTTTTGGCTCTCCCCAACCTGGCTGTGTGACCTGTCGAGCCATAGGGCCGGTGCGCCATCATGACGCCCGGCCTTTGATGGCGGCGGTCCTCCGACTCCGTGGGCGATAACTGAGACGCACCCATACCGGGTGAGACGACCAAATCGCGGCCCAGCAACACGCAACTATGACGGGTTCCGTTTGGACGCCCGGATCGCGCGAGGCGCTTGCAGGGTCACGAGGGCGCCTCGTTAGCTGCACCCGAGGCGGCGGACCCGATCCGGTGTGTAGATGACTGTTCATTGATTCCGAGAACTTCAATGCTCCATCTGCAACATACTTGGCTGAGTTTCTGAGTCCGACTTTCCCATCTTTCAAGCCACCTCCTGACGAATGATTGCTGATGGATGTGATGCCAACAGCCCCAAGAAAGGCCTTTCTCGACTTGGACCTAATCATGGAACAGAGGTTGGGCGAGAAATTGCAGCTACTTTTTGTCTCAAATTTCAATTATCTGTCAGGGGCGTATGATTTCCAACACCCGGTCACATTGTCTTCCTCTGAACCCACAGCTGGATGATCTAATTTCACCATCCATCTGGACAACCACGACGCGCAATCTGATTTTTCTTTTCTGAGTTATTCCATCCCCTTAGGCTGTGATGTGAAGCTGATTACTCATGTCCGATGGGGTACGAGTGGGGGGGATGGGAGTCCGTCAAGGACTGGGCCGTATGAATTTCGAGCGTCAACCGATGCGACTGGACGTCATAACTACGAAAGATCAATTCATCCAACTGTCGATGTTTCGACGGTTCTATACGACTCAGTCCTCTCGACAAGTCCTGCCAAATTGATCCCCATACTCTTTGCCTTCCTCCTTACTTGATACTTTCATCAGCCGTCCGCACCATCGTCGCCGCCTCACCCAAAACCACCTTATAAGCGACTTGAGTCCGACATCGGCTCCATAGACCCATTTGTCGGCCAGAAACACAGTTGTGGTGGCAACATTGTTTGCCCCACCACTCATCCAGCAAGAGCTGGTTTTATTTTTAATTCTACTAGATGAAAGATCTGCATGATTTGGATTATCAGACCAAGTAACAAAAATGATAGAGGCAACGTTGGCCCTCTTGTGACAAAATCAAAATTGAGCACACTTTTTAGGCACTTACATATTTCTCAGTGGATTACATTCCTTTGGAATCAGATTCACACTCATAGGGAGATATGGGCTGGTGAAGTGCTTTTTGATGAATCCAATGGCCATTTTTTAATTGATCCCTTATCTATTGAACTCCTCTCCCAGCTGGCATCAACTTGGCGGATAGAATTGGGGCAAACAACACCTCATCATGGCCAACAAACCCTCACATTAAACTCCAGTCACCAACCTTCTGGTCAAACTCAGGTAACATCAGCAAAATGGTTTCCAGTGCCATTTATATCAAGGCAGTTTATTTAGCAGAGATTATTTGCTAATTTGCAGTAAGGGTTGATTTCAGATGCCTGATCTCAATTTACATTTAATGATGATAATAGTGCTGTGCTGCCAAAAGGGAGTTGCCTTGGAAATTCTACCACTTTTTGATGAAATAGGAAAAACAGAGACATCTGAGTCTTACCAAGGTTTGGTTGCTGGTTTTGAAATCAGCAGTACCTGAACCCAGCTATCAGGAAAGAGAAGATGCTGGGAGTCAATGAATTTCTTTCAAAGAAATGGAAGTGATATTGAAAGGTTTTGGAGAGGGTAATAGTTACAATGGAGAAGTTGTAAGCTGGTGGAGATGCCATTGGATCACCAACAAAACTAGGAGACACCCTCCTCAACTAACAAGCTCTGGATTTCAATGCACAATTGTAACATGGTCCCAATCCCCTCCTTGCACCAGTGGATTGAACATCTAGAGATGGGATGTGATTCTTCAAACCCATGTTCATACAGGTTACAACCAAATTTTTCCAAGAGGCCTGGTTGGAAGCCTTGAGTTCAACTGACCCAAGGATCATGGGTTGGTTTCTATCTAGGGCTGTGTGGGTTGGAGAAGTTCTTGAGCATCTTGCATACATTTGTTGTTTCATTGTTGATTGGACTTACGCAAAGTCTACAAGCAAAGTTTTTGTTTCCCTACACAGTTTGTATATTACACGGACGCGTCAGATGATTGTGGAACTCGTAGTTGTTAACATTGGAGGTTGAAACCCCAGTGCCTCCGAGTCCAAGTGTGGTTTCGACCATGATGGGTACCCCATCCCATGTTGTATGTGTCACATATCTCACGGCCAACGATATTCCTGGATCGTGGCCACATTGGACACATAAGTTCAGGTCAATTCTCTCTCCCCCGTTTCCCCTCACATTGATCACAATCCTCGTGTGCCTCCCGAACGGCCTGCACAACAGCTCAGACCCTCGTAGTTCCAACATGCTTTTCTCTCTTACCGCTCGGCATCGCCAACTTCTATGGTTGATTTTTTGCTGCTTCACCATTGCTGAAGCAATGGAACTGTCCAGGATCAGAGAGCTTTCGGAAGAGAGCTCGAGGGGCTCAAGTGGCTTGAGGGGAGGATGCGATTCCCGCATTCAGGAGTATTTCCATGGGGATCCAGAGACATATCCTGTCAAAGCATATCTTCCAGAAGACGATCCCTCTGACAGCGTCAGTCCTGTACCATCTCCTCAGCCTAAACCACTTCGCAATCGTCAGTGAATCTTTGCTGGTCTCTTGTATTAGAAATAACACGGTGTTTTTTTTCTCTCTTACTAATTAACCATATCAACGTAGGGCCACCTTCCAAAAATCACGGTGACTGGCAATGGGAAAGGCTTTCAGAGCTGTATGGCCCTAACTCCCGCCTTGGGCGTTCTACATCACCTTTAAAGAATGATCGGAGCTCAAGTACGTGGTCTTTGGCTTGCTCCCGAGATTCTTTTTTCTCTTTCTGATTAACCATATCACCGCCGGTCTGCGCTCCAAAGATCAGGGTGAATGGGAATGGGAAAAGCTTACAAAGCTGTATGGCCCTGACTTCCATCTGGGAAGTTTTTGGTCACGTTCAAAGAATGATTGGAGTCCCAGTAAGTGGTCTTGAGTTATCTCTTGATAGAATATATAGTATCCTCGATTTTTTTTCCCTTATCATGGATGTGATCAATCTAGGCGCATATATCTGGCATAGTGAATTTACCCCGGTCGGAGAAGAAAGACAGCTCAAGGATGTCAACACTTCCGACCAAGCGCCTCCTCCAACAGGAGCAAGACGGCCCAACTTGCATCCGGAAAAATAGGTCCCATCTGGGACCTAGATGACCGACGATACACGGATAGCAGTTATACCGCTCTCATCGAAAATACCCATGAGTAAGATTGTCAGGAGTGTTGTACTGCAATATCGCTCGAGCTTTGCATCTCCGTCAGGACCATCTCTCATCTCAAGGGATAGATTTTATCCCGCTCTTTCTGTCTCGTCTTCTCTGTGTTTTACTTTTTTGGATCTGTGAAAAACTGGCCCATTGTCGCTCCTAAGTTGTTATAAAGTAGTCGCTCAAGACAAATAATGAATCATCTCATTTGTCCGAGTCCTCCCGCAGGATGCTTCTCAAGATTGCTAGTCCGACCGGCTCGATTGATCCCGCATGAACCAAAGGAGCGCCCACATCCGAAGAGAGGGGACTTTGTCAAGTTTGCCTTCGGCATCAATATTGGGGCCCGCTGAGAAAAAACTCAACACAAGTCACTCTCGACACCGTGTACTTAACGCGTTTCATTTTGAGTCAGCTTATAGCTCGCCTGTCCTTTTCTACACTGGCATCCACACGCGTCGTTAAAATCAATAGCGAACACCTGTACCCGAAGGCCTTCAGAAGGGTGGTTGGTCAATAGACGTAGGGGCACGACGGGTCGCCACGATCGACTGACTCGCGTCCCCCCCTGTGACTCACGGGTCCTGGAAAAAAAAGACATGCCAAATATCAGCTGAAACCAACACGGGTTTTCTTGGATAGTCTTTAATATTGTAACTTGGGATCTGTCCATCCCCTCGCCGTACCTCAACCCGTCGAGTGGATTCTGGAACTTGTTAAGTAGTTTGAACGATTATTGGACTTGAACCCCGGTGAGCTGCAAGTCATGTTTTGAGCATGGTGGGTCCCCAGCATCTTCCACTATCTATAGGTACATATACGTACCACAGATATTTTTACGCGATCGGATGTAGTTCGAGTATATACATCTTGCTCGCTCCATCCCTCCATCTCAATCCTGGTGGTTGAACTTGAATAGCCTAGTTCAGACCTTCTTAGTCCCGAAATGACCCTGGTTGTTACCCTTTCGCATTGTCGCCTTCTCTGGGCAATTTTGGGCTGCTTTACCATCAATGTTTTAGCAATGGAGTCGTCCAGGATGAGAGGGTTCTCCGGAGGAAGTATGTGGGGCTCAAGTAGCTTGAGAGGAGGATACGAGGATCTTTCTCTTGAGGGTAAGTCCAACTTGACTCGATTTGTTTGACTAGCTCAATCACTTATATCTCTGTTCATCTCCCCTCTCTCATTCTAGACATCCGTAAGGGTGTAGTCGAAAATTCCTTGGAAGAATTCACTAATGCTTACCAGAAGAAACAAAATGCGTTCAACGCGGAGTACGAGTCTCACAATACTTTGCCATTTGGGCGAGTCCTTTACCCGGATCTCAGACGAGGTAGGCCATCAACGGTACTGCTACCTGGTACCAATCCACTCAAAGGACTCGGAGAGAGCGAATGGACAACACTATACACGCATCTGATCGACGGATTATCCAAGAGGTATCATGAAGAGCTCAAGTCACTCTCCTTAGTCAAGTACAAAAAAGAGCAAACCAAGTTATTACATTGGCTGGACTTTGAGATCTTTTGGCCTCAGCATGGCCTTCCAATCCTAGGAACCTCTCGAAACTCATATGGATTAGAATCGATCGAAAACAGCGTGCTCGGAGACAATCAGGTAGAATTGATAAACTATTTCGCTTGCGGGACTCTAAATAGACACAACCCAATACTGGAACCCACAGTAACCAATCTACTCAAGTCTTACAGAGATAGTCGAAATCATGGTGAGTAAAGCACTGGATGCTAAGATTTTATTCGAATTCAATCATGTCAAATATTGATTTGATTGACTTCTTTTTTTTTTTTTTGAAAAACTCGGAAGCCATGATTAAAAAATATGATCCTCTAGAAAGATTTGGGGATTATGTTGCGGCATGCAATATCTATTACTATAGTCCAGCTAAGAAATGAAATGCCCTTGTGGGGCTTTTCCCTTTTTGTATCAACCATCAAAAATCCACTATGTATGTATAGTTTGGTTGATGACTTCCCTCAGTCGATTTCTAATTCATGCTTGGCCTAATATTATTGTACCTTCACTTCCAGTCCATTTTTTCTTTCCTTTTACTTCAGTTTTCAGGTGCATAGTGAATAAAATGTGTGACTGCTCCCTTTTTGGTTGGATACAACTTCTTGGCAGTATCAGACTGTCGTATGTACAGATGATCTCCGTCGAGACCTCCCTCACTCATAAATCCTTGTATCAAGAATCGCTGTTGATTATATGGCCCGCAGCTGCGTCTTGGGACAGCCCGGATTTGCAACACTTCAAGCCTTGCACCAGCCGGGCGACCCGAACACCCCTATCCAGGTGCCTTCAGGATAGTTCAGTTGACAGGCCTGAATCTGATCGTGTCGCTTTCCCGCCAGAAGTATCTGGTTCTTGGCAGTCCGAGCGATGATGATGACTTTAGAGATGTCTTGAGCTTGGTAATTTAACAGTATCGATTATCTTTAGGTAATTGTTCACGTACATTAAGTAAGTCTGCGATCACCACTGACCGAGCGAGCACCATGTAGAAGTATGCAGTATTTGTAATGGCGGAAGAGCCTATTAAGGAATCAGGGAGGATTACAATAGGACCCAGGAAACCCCCTCAAGAGGTGGGTAACCAAAATGTATGAATTTTTGTGGAAAATCACGAAATCATACGCACGAAAGTGGTATGAATCCGCTCAAAAACCCGACATGGTACGCACGAAAATGGTCCAAAATGTATGAATTTTGGCTCAATCTTGAGGAAAGCCTGCTTACCTGTCACATCCCCGAATTTTCGGGGGCAATTTTCTCACTTTCTGGTGGATTTTCCTGTCAGCATACGCACGAAAATGGTATGAATGGCTTCCAAAAATGTATGAATTTTTGCAAAATCCGGGATTTTTGGTTACCCACCTCTAGAGGGGGTTTCCTGGGTCCTATTACAATTTGATAGCCAATCCACCCGAGGAGCCTTGGATCCACATAAATATATTTATGTAATCCTTTCAGTGGCCGGCCTGGTGGTGCCATTTGAGTGGGGTCGAAGCTCGTAACCACACCAACTCATGCACCCTTATTAATCCGGCGATGATGATGATGATGATTATCCCTGATTTGCCTGCCAGACAAGGATATGGAAAGTCTTTTCCTCGGCGGGCGTGGCATCGGTCGGCGGAAGAAGTGCTCGATCCATCGGTGCTTGTCTATCTAGAGCTTTTCCAGCTTATCGTCCTCGTTGATCACTCTCTGACTTGATATATTGTTCTCGGTTCCAAACTTCCAGGCTGCAGTCAACTTTCGGCTTGTTCTCCATCGATTCACACTTCTTGTGGATGAATGTGTCGATCGTTGGCCTTGTCAATGAATTAGTAGTTTTTTTTCCTTTTTGTTTGTTTTTCAATCCCATACTCCACTGTACTATGCTATACTATACCATACTGTTGTACAGCTTGACTCTGTATCTCCATACCCTTCATCTTACATAGAACTCTCCACCTTGTCCATCATCCACTTTCCTGCGTTTCCCTTCCTTCCTTCCTTCCTTCTTCCTCCTTCTCCTTCCCCTGCTTCTCTCTCTCCCCCTCCTCTTCCGCCATTCCCGACCTTCGACAAAACCACTCCATCTATATTGGATAGCCTCTCTGCGGGTCTCGACTAGCACATTCTCAAACCACGAGAGACGAGCAGAGGAAGAAGGGGAAGCACAAGCAAGAAAGCAAGAAAGCACAAAAACAAACAATCTGCATAGAGCTTGAGGATGTCCGAAGCTTATCAGACCTCCCGGCTGACCGGTAAACAGGTCCCACACTTCTACATCCACTCAGACACACGTCACTTCAAGGACACCTCAGGAAGGACGCTGATTCTCAGAGGGGTCAACCTATCTGGCTCGGCCAAAGTCCCACGAGACCATCCCCAACACGTCCTACACAACTTCTGGGAATCCGCCGAACAGGACGGCCAACCCACCCAATCGAACTCGTACACTCAAGCTAACCCGGATTCCTCCTACTCCTCCAATTCCTCAACCGCCGACTCATCCTCCTTCAACTTCGATACCCAGAACTTGACCCCTACCACCACCTCTATTCCCATCTCTCAGAAGAACCAGCCTCCGAACTCCAACGGGATTAGCTATATCGGTCAGAACTTGAACCTTCAGGATGGCTCCGCAGATGTCCATCTGACCCGTCTGCGCCAATGGGGCTTCAATTGCTTACGCTTTGTTACCGTCTGGGAAGCTCTTGAGCATCAAGGCCCGTCAGTAGAATCCTTCACGTTTTTTTCATCAATTATCAGCAGCAAAACATTGACTTTTTCTCTCCCTCCCTTTTCTAGTGGTCAATATGATGACGACTACATGGAATATGTCGTGGCGATGCTACGTAAATGTAAGGAATATGGGTTCCGTGTTTACATGGATCCTCATCAAGACCTGGTAAGCTGGACTATCTCCGTGTTTTATAGGCTGAGTCAGACAGGAAGACCTGACTGTTGTTGGACGTGTATGATGGGGCAATTCAGTTCTCACGATTTTGTGGAGGATCGGGCGCGCCTCTATGGACACTATATGCGTGTGGGTTGAATCCGCGGAACTTCACGGTGACCGGGGCGGCATATCTACAGGCAGAATGGCCGCACCCGGACAGCCCGGATCCGGAGTCCTTCCCGGCGATGATCTGGGCGACGAACTACAACCGATTGGCGTGTCAGACGGTCAACACGATGTTCTGGGCCGGACGAGATTACGCGCCGAAGTGCATAATCGACGGGGTCAATATCCAGGATTACCTTCAGTACCATTTCCTCGAAGCTTATCGTCGTTTGGCCATGAAGTTGGCAAGTGCTGGGGATCTGCTCGACGAGACTGTGATCGGCTGGGACAGCATCAACGAACCTAATCATGGCTATCTCGGTCTCCATAACCTGATGGCCATCCCTGATGAAGTACCTCTGCGGATCGGGCCGACCCCGACGGGCTATCAGGGTCTCAAGATGGGCATGGGCGGGTCATGCAAGCTGGAAAACTACAGGTTTGGGCCACTTGGACCGCAACGAGATGGGAGCGTAGTGGTGGACCCTAAGGGCAAGCGGGCCTGGCTTCATCCGAGTGCCGAGCCCAATGGCTTATCGGGATATGGATGGCGAAGAGATCCGGGATGGGTGTTAGGAACCTGTATTTGGGCCCAACATGGGATCTGGGATCCCGAGACCGACGCCGTCCTCAAACCTCATTACTTCAACGAATCCCGACAGGACCCTAATAAACCCGTCGACTTTGCCAGCCAATATTGGCGCCCTCATCTTAACGCTTATTGTCATATGATCCGTCAGATCCATCCTGAAGCTATCCTCTTCGTTCATCCTCCCGTCTTCGAAATCCCTCCTGATCTCAGTCCTTCCGTCTTACCTATCCTCAAACATCGTTCCGTATTTAGTAGTCATTTCTATGATGGCTTGACTTTGGTCACCAAGCATTGGGTATTTCTCATTTTCTTCTTCTTCTCTTATTCATCTCTCCGTTGCTTTTGATCGCTCACTAATCTCAAATCGGCGTCTTTCGTAGAATTGGTTTAATGCGGACGCTTTGGGAATCCTTCGTGGTAAATATCCGTCGGTTGTCTTTGGTTTGAAGATTGGTGAAACTGCTATCCGAAAATGTATGCGAGCTCAATTAGGAATGCTCAAGCAAGATGGACTCGAGAAGATGGGAGAGTTTCCGACGATGATGGGTAAATCCCCTACTTTTTTTTCAATCACCCCGAAAATTAAAAATCAATCAACATGATCAACATTAATTTTTTTTTTTTTCGACGATTTTGTTTAGGTGAGATTGGAATTCCATACGATTTGGATAAGTCGAAAGCATACAAAGACGGAGATTACAGCAACCAAATCAAGGCCATGGATGCCTCCTTGAACGCATGTGATGGTGAGAACATGTTGAGCTATACGCTGTGGACCTATTGTCCCTCGAACTCGCACCAATGGGGAGACCTATGGAACGGGGAGGACCTGAGTCTCTGGAGCTCGGATGACGCGATGTACCAAGGCTCGACCTATGCGGAAAAGTCGAGCCGACATGGGAAGGTTTTAGGGCGACCGTTCCAGTACAATTACGGGGCCCAGTCGGCCGGGCCGACGCCGAATGCATCCGCAGTGACATTGAACCACCGCTCGACGGATGTGTCGGAGACCGATCTGGTGCGCAAGGGGATGTTCACGCCGATGGATGGCTCGAGTTCGAACACGAGTCTCGAGCTGGGGCTGATGAACTTGAACGATGGAGCGCGGGCCTTGCCGGCGTTCTGTCGGCCGTTCCCGGTGGCCATTGTGGGTGTGCCGAGTTACTTCAACTTCGACATCCACAGCGCCAGTTTCGAGTTGACGGTCGAGGTGGATGCGGAGAAGGATGGCGGGCTGGGCTGGGGCAACGAGGAGTTGCCGACGGAGATCTATGTGCCTGCGGTCCATTTCGGATCCGCCTCTGCTGACCCAGGCGGTCTTAAGCGTCGCGTGGCCTCTGAGAACGATGCTCGCAATCCCGAGCATTGGCCCGTCGGACGCTCCTCCGATGCCTCCCTCCCACTGCCCATCGGCCACGACCATACCCTCCTCAATCCCGCCACCGGCTCCCCTGCTGGTGTTCAGGGTCTCCCCTTCGACCCCCATCGCTTCAAGGATACCCTCCAACTTGAGGTCTCCGTCTCCGCTGGTAGATGGGAAACCGACGGACAGATCCTCCGTTGGTTCTATCCTAGAAAACCTCTCAACGGTAATAAAACCGCTAGCTACACTCTCAAAGTTCGCAGGAAATTCGGACCCATCCTCTTCACTGACGGTCATACTAATCTCTGGTTAGTCTTTCTTCTCTTCAAAGTCTTGATTTTCTCTTCCTTTCGTCATCTTTTTCTGTTCTTCTCTCCTTTTTCTTTTTCTCCCTTTCTTTTATCCTCTTCTTCATTTCGTATTTTCTTCATCGGAGGAATTGGGGATCCAGAGGGTTCTAATCGATTCATTGATCCGGACTAAATATTCATATATTGTCTGTCCCATGCAAATATACAGGCATGATTGGTGTTGCTTCTCTTCCGCTTCTTGATGATCCATCATATATCTATTTGGTTCAAATCAGCATCACGTTTTCATTCTTTTTTATTTATCTTTTTATTTTTTAAAGAAATAAGAAAATGTTCAAGCGCGTTTATGAGACTCACCTCAATCCTTTCTCCCTCCCTCCTTCTTCGATTTCTTATCTGTCTTCTTTTCCTTATTGCTCGTCTGGTCATCATCATTGGCACGTTCATGCACCCTTCCTTTTCGTTCACATCTTCCGTGTGTCTCGTTCTCTCCACCATTCATCTCCTACATCGGAACTCGGTACCATCAATTGATATACACATATATATGTATATTCAAATCCACACCCTGGGTTGACCTAATATTTTTATCGCCTTGGCATGGTGTTTTTTTTATCCTGCCAAAATGACCACACACATACTGTGTCGGATGATCTTACGCTGGGTGTATTGTTGTGATAGCGAGCCCTCTGGGCCACTGAATATCAGCACCAGTGGCGCAAGCCGAATCGGAATAGGCTACCAACACCGTGAACGGAAGCCTAAGGGCTCGGAGAACTTCGGCCGGACGAAGAAAGTGTTGAGCTCTATTGAACAACATGCTCGACTGCGCGCTATCTGGAAGGAACATGTGTCCGCTAATCCGTCGCTCAATTCTAATGCCTTTGCGGCTCCGTCTTCTTCCTCTTCTTCCTCTGCCTAACCTCCCCCCTTGATCTCCTTCTTTCAATAAATTGCTTTTTTTTTTCCTCCGGGTCTTTGTTGTATAAATGATCTGTATCCTCTAGTAGACTGTTTTACCATTTTCACATATCCCTCTGCCGTTTCTTTATGGTTCCTTCATCTCCTTCTTTTCTCCTTCTTCCTCGCCATTCGTCAGTTCTTTGGGTGCTGCTTTTATATCTGCATGGCAGGATCTTCTCTTTTCCTTTTTTTGGATTTCAAGTTTCTTTTTTCTTCCTCTTTGATTTGGTCCAATTTTCTTTGTGTTTGTGTTTGCATGCATATCAATCAATGATGATTGTGAATATCAATGATCTCATGGATTTCTGTCAAGTTTCAAAACCAGATCAATAAAATACTAACCTTGCTTCTGTTTTCTTTTTCTTTTCCTTCCTTTTTTTGGGGGCAACCATTTCAACCTTGACCAATCCAAATTCTAACCAACCCATTGAAATTCTTATCCGCGTGGGTGATCTGACTTGAAATGCAAATTGGGGCTTCACAGGATGGGCATGTGGCAAAGTGTGATCAACTTTGTGCTTTTCTTCTTCAACCTATCCTGGCCTTCTTCCAACTCCAACTCCAACTCAACCTCACCCAATTCACCAGACTCTTCTTCCTCTTCCTCTTCTTCTTCCCCTTACATGAGAAACTCTAACAAGGAAGGCCACCATCATCCCTCCCAACTAAAAAAACTTTAACCCTCGATCCTCATGTATTTTATTTGTTTATTTGGACCTCGTTATCGTTTCCCCCCCACCCACCCCCCCTCCTTTGGCTGTGTTCTTTTTCTTTTTTTTTGAGCTTGTCTTACATACAAAAAACATTGTTGTTTAGATTGCAATTGTTCTATTACTTAGCATTCTTGTTTCTGAGATTCATTGGTTGTGATTGATTGATACTATCATGCATAACCATCTTACAGACTATCTTATAACAGTACTACCTTCATACATTACAGATAAAAGTCCTCCATACTTACTTGGTTATCTTCTTTTTTCTTTTGGTTCACTTTTTTCTTTTATCAATATTGCATGTTGTTTCTTTTAGATATGCAAGTCAACTTGCTTGGTCAGACTTGTCAACAATAAAAATTTGAGCTGACAGTCCATGTCCTTGTGCCCATGGATGGGGAGGGGAGGAGGGCAAGCTTGACTGGCTTGTGCTGATACATGAATGTCATGTTCTGTTGGCCAGGGTTGGAGACATTATGTCTTGGTCTGACAGGAATATTGGAAGACTCAAGACCTGCTGTCAAAGAATGTTCATTTGATACCATCATACTGGGGAGGTGAGTGACAGTGATTCATGAGTCAAATACTGGGTAATGTATGTGTCACTATTAGGGGTATTGAAGGTTGGACCTTAAAATCAACACTGGGTAGTTACATCACCCGTAATGGTAGTGTAAAGATAAAGTAGTGAGTTTCCACTCATTATCATTACTTTCCCCATAATGATTGGAATTTTTTTGCACATTACATTATCCATTTTGCCTTGGATTTTTTTTTCATGCTCATTACACTATCAGAAACTTGTAGATTTTTTTTCTTTGAAAAGAACCATAAGACATGTGATACTTTCTGGACATTCATGGCATGTGTTGCTGCCAAGGCTCAAAAAGAGAGGCTTTTTTGCCACTTAAAATCTGTTTAGGGTTGCTCAACCTCTGGATAATCTGATGATGCATTACTTTATCCATTCATTACACACAAAAACTTCACCATTACACTACTGGCTGAAAGAAAAATTTGCCACTACAGATAATGGTCATGTATCAGGGAAGGAATCAAGTGCACATTACTGAGATAATGCAGATAGCACAGCGTAAAGTAGAGACCCAGTGTTGCTCAAAGGCATGAACATAAATTCATAAATGATTTTTGTAATTTTTGATAGATGAATCAAGACATGGATTATGTAAGCAGTGCTGTGAAAAGAATAGTTTAGGCCCCATTTGGATGCATTGTTATTTGTTATAAGTTTTCAAGTTCAGCACTAAAGTGCATGAAGTATATATATTATGATGGTTCACATTTGAAATATTTCGGCAAAATCTTTATGTGAAACCAGCAGAGCGCTTTGAGTTTGCACACATAAAATTGGCCTGTGTGTCTGCCAATTTTTAAACTTTTTTGAAACCAGCAAGCAGGAAGTTTACCCAAAATCAACGGGATTTTAATCAAATGTGAACTGCCCTATCAATTTACAACAACATAATGCAATCTTGCATTAAGCTTTAAAATTTATGACATCTAACACTGTTGTCCAAAAGGGGCCTTATCAATTTATGTCACCAACTTTGAACACCACTATTGTGACTGATGAATCAATGATCTGCTTCTTATTTTTCATCAATATCTGTCACAAATAAGAAAGGGACTTGGTCAACTGACTCCCAGAAATTGGAGAGTCGACTCTCAAACCCGGGTTTCCCCGAAATTTGGGAGTCAATTCCCCAAATCCATCAGTGGGTTTGGGAGTCGGCCCCCAAATAAAGAACCAAGTGGTTTTTGGGGGTTGGTGATAAAAAATAAACCAGTGGCCAGGAGGATTCCTCCCTGCCCTGGAAAGTGCTCTCTTGACGGCTGAGAGAATTTCTCTTGGTCTTTACATAAGGGTAAAACCCTCAATGGCCAAAAGAAACCTCTTGGCCATCAAGGGAGTACACCTCAACAGCCGAGAGAAATCCTCCCAGCCATCAAGGGTGTACACCTCAACAACCAAGAGGATTCCTCCCGGCCATTGGTTTTTTTTTTTTGGTTCTGGCATTGACAACCAAACCCTTCCAGGGTTTCTCTTTTTTATTTAATTTTTTTTTTGGGGGGCCAACTCCCAAACACACTGATGGATTTGGGGAATTGACTACAACATTTTGGGGAAAACCGGGTTTATGATTCGGCTCTCCAATTTTGGGGAGTCGGTTGACCAATTCCCATAAGAAAATTTCTGTTTTTGTTTTTGATTTTGCTTTTTCTTTGGGACTATTTCAATTCTCCATTTGGAAAGAACAAAAAGAAGAAGAGTTCGTTTGCCAAGTCAGATTTATAATTCCCCAATATTGTTGTTATTATGATATTGGTGATACACCAAAAACCTTGTATATTACAATACAAACAACTGGGGTTTTTGCCCTCAACAACAGTATGTTACACAGTAATGGAAAATATATTCAGTTTCATTTCAAAGTGAGTGAGTTATTAAAACAAACATGGTTCCTTATGTGTTGAGGCTTGAACATCCTTCCTGTCCCAGTCTGATATCTGACTAAAATTTTCACGCCTCTTCAACTGAGAGTTTCCTGTGGGGGCACCAGGGAGGCTCTATTAAGCTAGGTATCCAGAGTTGTTGCAATTCATCTGTCCAAAGGGGGGGGCTTGAAATACAAACAAATGTGGCATCCATGATAGCAACTCTACCTCTACCCCCAGGATTCAACTCTTCATTGGATGTTGCCCCAAATAATCTTTCCTTATGAACATAACACAATGTACCATAAATGCTGTAATGCCACTTACTAGCAAGTGGCATCAAGGACTGACCATGAGGCAGTATTTTTTGCACAGTCACTATGCAGTGGATATGTGCTTACCCTGAGCTTGGATAGAGGTTGGGTATGAGCCTCATGATGTCACCCATCAGCAATTGACATCACTTTTTTCATGGTGATGAGATCAAAAATAAACATCAAAATATCAGAACCACTTTGGAATACAAAAGATGAAAGTTGCTGCTGGACTTCATTTCACACAAGATGAGTGTTGTACCACATCCTGCTACTGATAGGTCACCCAGATTCAGAAGAATCAATATCTGGCAATTGGGGACTGATGCCAGAGTGCACCACTGGCACAAATACCCACCTGAAGTACCACTAGTACCCACCAGACAGTGCCAGGTGTGGTACCAGGTGCCAGTTTTAACAGGGTCATCCCTACAACTGATTGCCCATGAAAAGAATTCTGAGTGAATTAACAATGGTGGGAATCATTGAACTAAGCCAAATTCTCAGACTGATTGGAACTCAAACAAACAAGGTTACAGCTGGAATACAATCTCTGCCAACATCTCCTGTCATGAACAACTGCAAAGTCCTAGTGCTTTGTGACGAGTGTTTTCCCAATATAGATTCTTGGTGCCGCTTGGAGATGATGGGATCATTGTAATCTATCCAAAATTTGGAGCTCGGTTGGAACTCAAACAAGCAAAAAGTACAGCTGGAGTTTGATTTCTGTTCAACATCTCCTGACGCGCCCAACTTCAAACAACCATCACCTTCCAGTCCGTCACGTCCCAAGAATATTTGTTTCTCCACCCATGCTGAAGAAAAAAAAAACACCTGTAGTGATATGATTTTTGGCATATAAGCTAGATCTACTGGAAAGATTGTCCACCGTGGAAGCCGGGTGGGGGAGCTTGACCGGGAGGACCGAATCCTGGGGGTGCATTACCCATGAAAGGTGGGCCTCTTGGATTGAAGCCTAACAGATCAAGAATGAAAATATGAACCGAACCAATCAGTTATCAGGAAAGAAAAAAGAGTTGGTGGATGGCGTGAAGTGTCATGAAGCGAATAGAGACCTGGTGGGGGTGGCATGCCCATGCCAGGTGGAGGCATGCCAGGGGGAGGACCACCTGGACGAGGGAAAGACATCGGTTGGCCACGCATCATCGGAGGAGGAGCACCAGCTGCAAACAAGAAAAAAAAGAGAAACCTCGTTATGATCATCTCTCAAAGCAAATCAATCGAAAAGTATTTCCAAAGTGGGCATCTTACGAGGTGGGGCAAGACCAACACCGCGTCCAGCGGGAACGCCCGTTCCTCGACCAGGCGCGATCTAGAAAAAAAAAAAAGGGGGGGGATGAGATCAGCTTGTTTACCACCACTATGTACCGTGATACATCTCCCATGAGACCTACTGTTGGACCTTTATCGTCAGCAACTGCTGGTGGAGGACCTTCAACACTGAGGCTGACGATAGTCTCTCCTCGGAGGATGACTAGGCCGAGCGCTCTCTTCATTTCTAGTTCTTCATTTTCTTCAACATTTGAATTAGCTGCGAGGCCGCCTTTCTTCTTCTTCTGTTTAATGAACCGAAACTCTTCACAATCAGCTAGAACTAAGTTGAGATGTCGATCGAATGCTAGCATCTGTCCAGTGAGAGTTCGGGAATCATTCAACGTCACTCGTAGCCGATAGTTGATCAGTGCAAGCATCTTGCTTTGTTTGGGCGCCTGTCGGTCATTACATTTCGATCGAAAGAGATATCAGTACGCGACTTGGTTTTTCACAGGAGCAATTGACGCCAGAGATCATCATGAGAGAAGGTTCAAAAGCCACAGACCATCGTGAATTGTGTTGATGGGGGTAAGTTGACCAAGGAAGGTGATGCTTGATGATCGGGGCACCCATGTGGTGAGGGCCGCCACCTGGCCAAGGGGTCGCGCGACCCACGGCGCGGACATGCTCGGCGGGCGGAGCAAGCTGCGCACCGCGGGCTCTGTGGCCTCAGGATAGAAGCATGCGGCGTCCAGATATCCTTCTAGCGGGGGGTAGACCTTGGGCCGAGCTGAAACCTAACCCTAGGTTGGTGAGACCAGCCGATTTAGTCAGACCACTCGGCGGCCAGCACGCACAGGACTGCCACACCACGACCGGCACAACCGAGCAGCATCCTCAAGACACGACCAGTCCCGGCCAACGAAGATGGTAAATACCGCCCGCCGCCCCACATATCCATCATCACAAGTACTGAGGAAAAATGGATCGAGCTGACCACTGCTATTGGTATTCAGGCTGACACCAAGACAAACCCCATGCGCGAGCTCCGGATCGAAAAGCTGGTCATCAGTGAGTCGCCCAATCGGACTCTCCAGAGGAAAAAAAAAGGGCTCTACTCATTTAGCGTTGTCCATTCTCTCCCCCAAAGACATTTCGGTCGGTGAATCCGGTGATCGACTCACCCGAGCTTCCAAGGTACCGAATCATTCACACCGTAATAATCACTTGAAACTATTCCAGCGTAATTCTGATTCCTTGATGATGCTCCGGACAACCCACCTATCAGGTCTTGGAACAACTTACCGGTCAAACCCCGGTTACCTCCAAGGCTCGTTACACCGTCCGTCACTTTGGGATCCGTAGAAACGAAAAGATTGCCTGTCATGTGACGATCCGTGGACCCAAGGCCGAAGAAATCTTGGAGCGTGGGCTCAAAGTTAAGGAGTACGAACTCCGAAAGCGAAACTTCTCCGAGACTGGTAACTTCGGCTTCGGTATCACAGAGCACATCGACTTGGGAATCAAATACGACCCTGGAATCGGGTATGCCCCCGTCATATCTTCCCCCATGGCTCACAGTCATGAGAGACTGATTTGTTCTTTGTATCTAGTATTTTCGGTATGGACTTCTTCGTCGTCATGGGTCGACCCGGCTACCGAGTTTCCCGACGCAAACACGCCACCAACCGTGTCGGCTTCAACCACCGTGTCAAGAAGGAGGAGACTATGACTTGGTTCCGATCACGTTTCGATGGTAAGCTCTTTGTGTTTTTTTTTTTACTAAGGAAATACCCCATTTCATACTTATGGTTTCGATACGTTCAGGTATCCTTTCACGATGAGCTGTGAGAAGCGGACGATGATGCTCTGGGACCGGGAAATGGGCGGCTTACTATTCTATGACCAGTAAATTCCACGGTTCTTATTGAGCTGTCAAGAAGTGACTTGTCTGGTTTTTGAATCTCCATGTACCATCTTGAAGAAACTCTAAACCCGAGCAACCTCACACAATTTTTTCCGACACCAATTCATTCCCATCATGCCATTCAATCTAAGTCTTGTCACCTATGAACCCCCGCACATGCTTCCTCGACCGCATCAATCATCATCACATGCGATTTGAGCCCGTAATGTAAAATCATGCCGCTCCAGTCTTACGGCTGGTAAAACGGTCTAATAGTCGTTGTCCAGTCGTGCCGTTCTCTACATCAGATACAATCTCCTCTTGAATTCCATATCTGAGACCTAGGCTTTACGCACCTGCTAGCATGAATGTACGCTGGTAAGTGAGTGCCAGCAATGACAAGATAATCTTTTAAGGAAATTAAGGAATTATTAAGACCAACCGCAGCGGTCAGTGAACTAAGGCCGGATTAGCGTAGCTACTCCGAGCTATGTAGACATGCGATTTGAGCCCGTAATGTAATATCATGCCGCTCCAGTCTTACAGCTGGTAAAACGGTCTGATGGAGGACTTCCCGTTGGATCTGTGACCCTCGCAGATGTCGATTTAGACCCGAAAAGTCTAGAATTTCGCTGGGAAATCTAGCTTTCAAGGCCTCTAAATCACTTCTGGGAGACCCGCAGATTTGACGTTACACTAACAGTTAGTGTAGTGGTACCCTCAGTTACACTAACTGTTAGTGTAACTGACTATGTAGTTACATGACCACATGACTAGCGCTAGTCTACCCTGAAGACAGTGCCTGATTGGGGGGCCTACATCCAGATCCCCTCAATTGATCATCATTTTTTTCAGTTGGTACTGGGGGCCACTCAATTTTAGCCCCCTGCCATTTTTTAATTTACTGGGTTCCATTCCCACACTTACTTGTGTTCAATTTCCACTTTGACATCATGCAGCAAGGGGTGTGTGTGTGTGTGTTGAGGTGTATGATAGTCTGCTACCATTATGTATCACCAGAGTGTGGTGGAGCTGTTGGCATGGGCCATGACAACTACCACCCAACTGACCTGGCAAACACAAGCATCTGTAGCCTAGTTGGTAAACACTACAGGCAAACAGGTGACGCTGCGGGGCACCTAACCCAAAGGGGCCCCCCTTGGGTTAGGTGACGTTCCGCGCGGGAGCGTCACCTAATTGCCCGTAGTGAAAGGAAGCACTCTTGTATGTGACTCAGCATTGCTGAGGTTGTGAGTTCAAATCTCACCAGGCACATCCTCAGTTTGTTTTTCTCCACATCTTGTGCTGTTCATATTCTGCAGGATTGTGTGCGATCACGGGACATTGAAAATCGTCACCGTGGACCTCGGCCATATCAGTCATATGAACATTTCACATAAGTTGTGCAAAAATCCATCTTGACACATCAATTTCTTTAATTGACGAGTTACAAGTTACACTACACTACATGTGTAGTGTAACTTCTAATGTGTAGTTACACTACACTACATGTGGCCATATCAGTCATATGAACATTTCACATAAGTTGTGCAAAAATCCATCTTGACACATCAATTTCTTTAATTGATGAGTTACAAGTTACACTACACTACATGTGTAGTGTAACTTCTAATGTGTAGTTACACTACACTACATGTGTAGTGTAACTTCTAATGTGTAGTTACACTACACTACATGTTGATGTGTTGTAGTGTAGCGTAACTAGGCATGTAGTGTAGTGTAGTGTAGCTTAATTTGGTATAAGTTACACTAAATGTTAGTGTCAACTCAGTTACGCTGCTGTTTAGTGGAAGTTTTGTTAGCTTGGAAAAGGTTACACTACTTGTTAGTTTAGTGGCAATTATTTCAAGCTAACACTAAAAAAAATTTGAGGGAAAAATTTCACGCTACGCTGGCAGTTAGCTCAGCGGTGTGTAGCGTGAACTAACACTACAGGATTTCCAGCAAAAAAAAAGCAACTACACTAACATGTAGTGGCCAAATAGCGTAGTGTAGTGTAGCAGCCCACCGTTGATTGAGCCCAAACCCTAAGCAATACTCTCAGTCTTTTTAGGGATTGCGGCTGTCTTTGCTGCGGCTGGGGTCACGGCTAGGAGTGCGGATACTGGAAAACTCAACAAGGGGGTCAAGATGGGGGGAAGTGTAGGGCAATTTTCCCCCCAACAAAAAATCAAAACCTCTCAATCCAAAAAATTCACTTTACTCCCAAGCCTCTCCTTTGGAGGTTTGCTTTGTGAGTCAATGAGGGTGGGGCTTGTGTTAAGCTAGAGGATGGCTTGGCTTGGGTTGGAAAAAGGCCAACCCAACCCTAACTTATCAAAAGACCCTTGCCTGCAGTCAGTTTTTCTGTGTACAAATGGGGGCCTGGGGGGGACTTTCATATCATCAACGCTGTCACAGATACAATACACTGTATGTATCATGGAGAATTCTGCAAAGCTGCATGGCCAAAAACCAAATTTGTTGAATCTCCTTGCAAATAAAAGCAGATTGGTCAGATAGGTTTTTTTATTGGGGCTCAGATACATAGTGATACATGGCAGATACCGTATCTGTGACAGTGTTGATATCATGTTGAAAGTTTGGCTGGGACTGGAAACATGAATGTCTGGAGTGAATTTTGTTAAGCTTCTCACTCATTATCCCAATGCTGCACGACCCTTCCCCAGAGCCAGATGAATATCTTCTGGTGGAGCTTTCATTTATAGGTGGTCTCATCCACTCATTTGTAATGGTTCTCCATAAATTTTTGAAAATAATAAGAAGTTGTTCTCCTTCAAAACTGAAAACACAGATCCACCAAGATCAGCAAGGCAATCTGCCAAATATTTTCTAGCTTTCCACCTTTCAGATTCAACAAGAAAGATCTTGACTACAAGTTGCACTCTCAGAACCCTTGGCAAATGAGAGCCTTGACAAATTTAGAAAATGGAATTTCAGACTTGGAAAATCTTTGGGAACTCTCTCAGAGGAATCTCTGAGCTGGATAATTTTTGATTCCCTCATTCCTGGAAATGTATTTCTTCATTAATTTTGGTTTGTTGCCCTTCAGGATTTTGACCAAAGTGACTTGGCAAGAAAGCACCAAAACTGTCTATTCAGTTTTTTTTTTTCAAATTGTGTATTTTTTTAAAATAAGTATTTGGTGGATTTAGGCTTGTGAATCCTTACTGCCCCAGCCAAATGTTTGACTTGATTCATAAGCCTCTCCTATGGAGAGTGTCCAATTTTCAAGCCTAAATCCTAACCCAACCCAGAAAGAAATGAGGCAGGTTGGGTTTGTTGCTATGTTGCTTGACAAAGTCTCTTTCCCCTGGCAAGCCTGCAGGATGCTCTCTGTTGGAGAGGCTTATACAATTACATATTTTCTTTACCAACAATCTTGAACTGGGTTAAAGATGGCCCCATGGGACCCGGGTACCCGTTGATACCCGGGTACCGACTGCTTTTTTTGGCCAAAACAAACACCGGGTACCGCACCCGCTCAAGTATGACGGGTACCGGCGGTACTCCTAGTCTTCCAGGCAACCTGGTTGAGACCAATCAGGTCGCCAAGGAGGGCCCTTACCGGCGACCTGATTGGTCTTGATCAGGTTGCCGAGGAGGGGTCCTCTCCAGCAACCTGGACAAGACCAGTTAGTCTTGGTCAAGCCACCGAGGAGGGGGTTTGGGGGCGGGTACCCTTAAAGGTACCAGGGTACTGCCTGCTTTTTTGCCCAAAAGCAGGCACTAAGTACCGCACCCGGCACCACTTGGCGGGTACCGGAGGAGTGAAGGCGGTACCCGCCAACGGGTCCCGGGTACCGCCCAACGGGTACCGCAAGGCCATCTTTAAACTGGGTTAATTTTCTATTGATTTCTTGTTTTTATTCATACCATTTGAAATTGGTTTTGGGCCCAGATTTACTACAGTTTTTGTCCCCCCCCCATGGGTCATGTAACAGCCCAGTGCTTGGTCTTCCCCACTGTTGGAGCAGAGGGGAGTAAGCAGCATAGGGGGCAACTTTTGGGATTTGCAATTGGCTCTGGTTCAGAATCTGAACTCAGGTTTGGATTACCTCTGCTGGAGGATAGATAAACTTTCAACACAAAGTGCCAAGATTTTTCGGAGAGAAAATAAATTCCAATCCTTGGCAGGGACAGGAAGGATGGGGTTGAATAAACATATCCAAATTTTCTGCATGTACATCAAGTTTTGGGCTCACAGAAACAGCTAGTTTTCTGAATGGAAAGTTGAAGAAACCCAGGTTTTCATTTTAGTTTTTTTACAGCCAGGAGGGTTTCCTCCACCCATTGGGACTTTTATAACTCTCAATGGCCAGAGGAATCCCTCTCGGCTGTCAAGACCATTCAGCTCTTGATACCAAGAGAGATCCATCCTGGCCATCAAGATTTTACAGGTCTGAAGGCCAACACAGATTGCCCCCAGCCATCAAGACTGTACAGATTTTAAGGCCAGGAGAATCCCTCCAGCTATAGATTCAATAGCAGGTATGAAATACATGAAATCCACCATTATGAGCCAGTTGATTTTGAATCAATGGGTCTCCAAAGGGATCAGGTGAAGAATCAACATGTTTACAAAATGGTTGATTTTTCCAAACCAGTCAATTAAATAATAGTTATTTTGGTTACACTGTGGTACCTGAAAATTCTGAATGGAGCAGAGATGTCAGCAGGTACCCGTTTGCAGGTACCCGGTACCCGTTTGCGGGTACCTGTTTTCCAAAGCAGGTACCCGGAAACAGGTACCGGGTGCGGGTGCGGGTTTCAACATTTGCGGTAAAAACAGGTGCAGGTGTCAACATTTGTGGTAAAAAAGGCAGGTACCCGGGTACCCGCCTTACACCCGCCCTGGGAATGCTTCCCCTGAAGAATTTAATTTATCATTGGTGGTCCAACACTCCCTTTTTTGGGTGTGTTGGGCTGCACAAAGGTGTCAGCAACCCATGTAGGACACCAGCTGGTGTCTTACATGTGTTGCTGAACTAATCTGGTTGCTTTGTTGAGGCCGGAGGGTTCGGTTGCTTTGTTGAGAACGGAGGGTTCCCTCCGGCCTTTGAGATGGTGTACAGTCTTTATGACTGGAGGAATTCCTCCAGTCATAAAGACGGTGTACTACAGTCTTCATCAATGGACATTGAATAAGGCAAATGAGGCCAAGCAAAAGGGTAAAGCTAAAGATAGATCAGAGAGAAGATAAAATTCAAATTGGTGATGGAATAATTTGTTTTTCTTTATTTCTTTATTTTTGTTTTATTCTTACTCATATATCTAGTGAATATCAATCTTATATTTACCAAGTCATGCAGAAATTCAAGGGTGAGATTTCTAGGTATATTTGCCTGCAAAAATGTGCCAGGTACCCGCCCTGGCGGCCCTAGCAGGTGTGGGTGTGGGTGCGGGTGTCA